AGAACTGCTCTTGCTGCATCCCATAGATTTTGAGTCGTCGTGTCTCCATTGTCATTTGTTTCTAGGTATTTTTTGATTTCCTCTTTGATTTCTTTAGTGATCACTTCGTTATTAAGTAGTGTATTGTTTAGCCTCCATGTGTTTGTATTTTTTACAGATCTTTTCCTGTAATTGATATCTAGTCTCATGGAGTTGTGGTCAGAAAAGATACTTGATACAATTTCAATTTTCTTAAATTTACCAAGGCTTGATTTGTGACCCAAGATATGATCTATCCTGGAGAGTGTTCCATGAGCACTTGAGAAAAATGTGTATTCTGTTGTTTTTGGATGGAATGTCCTATAAATATCAATTAAGTCCATCTTGTTTAATGTATCATTTAAAGCTTGTGTTTCCTTATTTATTTTATTTTTGGATGATCTGTCCATGGGTGAAAGTGGGGTGTTAAAGTCCCCTAATATGAATGTGTTACTGTCGATTTCCCCTTTTATGGCTCTTCGTATTTGCCTTATGCATTGAGGTGCTCCTATGTTGGGTGCATAAATATTTACAATTGTTATATCTTCTTCTTGGATCGATCCCTTGATCACTATGTAGTGTCCTTCTTTGTCTCTTCTAATAGTCTTTATTTTAAAGTCTATTTTGTCTGATATGAGAATTGCTACCCCAGCTCTCTTTTGGTTACCATTTGCATGAAATACCTTTTTCCATCCCCTTACTTTCAGTCTGTATGTGTCTCTAGGTCTGAAGTGGGTCTCTTGTAGACAGCAAATATATGCGTCTTGTTTTTGTATCCATTCAGCCAATCTGTGTCTTTTGGTGGTAGCATTTAGTCCATTTACATTTAAGGTAATTATTGATATGTATGTTCCCATTCCCATTTTCTTAATTGTTTTGGGTTCGTTATTGTAGGTCTTTTCCTTCTTTTGTGTTTCTTGCCTAGAGAAGTTCCTTTAGCAGTTGTTGTAGAGCTGGTTTGGTGGTGCTGAACTCTCTCACCTTTTGCTTGTCTGTAAAGGTTTTAATTTCTCCATCAAATCTGAATGAGATCCTTGCTGGGTAGAGTAATCTTGGTTGCAGGTTTTTCTCCTTCATCACTTTCAATATGTCCTGCCAGTCCCTTCTGTCTTGCAGAGTTTCTGCTGACTTTCAGCTGTTAACCTTATGGGGATTCCCTTGTGTATTATTTGTTGTTTTTCCCTTGCTGCTTTTAATATGCTTTCTTTGTATTTAATTTTTGACAGTTTGACTAATATGTGTCTTGGCATGTTTCTCTTTGGATTTATCCTGTATGGGACTCTCTGTGCTTCCTGGACTTGATTAACTATTTCCTTTCCCATATTAGGGAAGTTTTCCACTATAATCTCTTCAAATATTTTCTCAGTCCCTTTCTTTTCCTCTTCTTCTTCTGGAACCCCTATAATTCGAATGTTGGTGTGTTTAATGTTGTCCCAGAAGTCTCTGAGACTGTCCTCAATTCTTTTCATTCTTTGTTCTTTATTCTGCTCTGCAGTAGTTATTTCCACTATTTTATCTTCCAGGTCACTTATCCATTCTTCTGCCTCAGTTATTCTGCTATTGATCCCATCTAGAGTATTTTTCATTTCATTTATTGTGCTGTTCATCATTGTTTGTTTCATCTTTAGTTCTTCTAGGTCCTTGTTAACTGTTTCTTGCATTTTGTCTATTCTATTTCCAAGATTTTGGATCATCTTTACTATCATCATTCTGAATTCTTTTTCAGGTAGACTGCCTATTTCCTCTTCATTTGTTAGGTCTGGTGGGTTTTTATCTTGCTCCTTCATCTGCTGTGTGTTTTTCTGTCTTCTCATTTTGCTTATCTTACTGTGTTTGGGGTCTCCTTTTTGCAGGCTGAAGGTGCATAGTTCCTGTTATTTTTGATGTCTGTCTCCAGTGGCTAAGGTTGGTTCAGTGGGTTGTGGTTCAGTGGGTTGTGTAGGCTTCCTGGTGGAGGGTACTAGTGCCTGTGTTCTGGTGGATGAGGCTGGATCTTGTCTTTCTGGTGGGCAGGTCCACATCTGGTGGTGTGTTTTGGGGTGTCTGCAGACTTATTATGATTTTGGGCAGCCTCTCTGCTAATGGGTGGGGTTGTGTTCCTGTCTTGCTAGTTGTTTGGCATAGGATGTCCAGCACTGTAGCTTGCTGGTCGTTGAGTGAAGCTGGGTGCTGGCATTGAGATGGAGATCTCTGGGAGGTTTTCGCCATTTGATATTATGTGCAGCTGGGAGGCCTCTTGTGGACCAGTGTCCTGAAGTTGGCTCTCCCACCTCAGAGGTACAGCACTAACTCCTGGCTGCAGCACCAAGAGCCTTTCATCCACACGGCTCCTTAATTTGGGATGATTTGTTGTCTATTCAGGTATTCCACAGATGCAGGGTACATCAAGTTGATTGTGCAGCTTTAATCCGCTGCTTCTGAGGCTGCTGGGAGAGATTTCCCTTTCTCTTCTTTGTTCTCACAGCTCCCAGGGGCTCAGCTTTGGATTTGGCCCTGCCTGTGCATGTAGGTCGCTGGAGGGCGTCTGTTCTTTGCTCAGACAGGACGGGGTTAAAGGAGCTGCTGATTCGGAGGCTCTGGCTCACTCAGGCCGGGTGTAGGGAGGGTCACGGAGTGCAGGGCAGGCCTGCGGCAGCAGAGGCTGGCATGACGTTTCCAGCCTGAGGCGTGCCGTGCGTTCTCCCGGGGGAGTAGTCCCTGGATCCCGGGACCCTGGCAGTGGCGGGCTGCACAGGCCCCCCGGAAGGGGGGTGTGGATAGTGACCTGTGTTCGCACACAGGTTTCTTGGTGGCGGCAGCAGCGGCCTTAGCGGCTCATGTCTGTCTCTGGGGTCTGCACTTTTAGCTGCAGCTCGCGCCCGTCTCTGGAGCTCCTTAATCCCCTCTTAATCCCCTCTCCTCGCGCACCAGGAAATAAAGAGGGAAGAAAAAATCTCTTGCCTCTTCGGCAGGTCCAGACTTTTCCCCGGACTCCCTCCTGGCTAGCCGCGGCGCACTAACGCCCTGCAGGCTGTGTTCACGCCGCCAACCCCAGTCCTCTCCCAGTGCTCCGACTGAAGCCGGAGCCTCAGCTCCCAGCCCTGCCCGCCCCGGGCGGGTGAGCAGACAAGCCTCTTGGCTGGTGAGTGCCGGTCGGCCCTGATCCTCTGTGCGGGAATCTCTCCGCTTTGCCCACCGCACCCCTGTTGCTGTGCTCTCCTCCGCGGCTCCGAAGCTCCCCCACTCCGCCACCCGCAGTCTCCGCCTGCGAAGGGGCTTCCTAGTGTGTGGACACTTTTCCTCCTTCACAGCTGCCTCCTGCTGGTGCAGGACCCGTCCCTATCCTTTTGTCTCTGTTTATTTTTTTCTTTTGCCCTAACCACGAACGTGGGGGGTTTCTTGCCTTTTGGGAGGTCTTCTGCCAGCGTTCAGTAGGTGTTCTGTAGGAGTTGTTCCACGTGTAGATGTATTTCTGGTGTATTCTTGGGGACTTCCGCCGTCTTCCCAGAAGTCTCTCCCCTGTTGTTCTTCAAACACAGTATTTCTCAACAAACATTAGGTAACATTAGGATCACCTAGGCCACAGATTGCAGTGCCCAATTCCAGAGTTTCTGGTTTAGCAGGTTGAGGCCAAAAATTTGCCTAACGCGTTCCTTGATGATGGTGACACTGCTTGTTCAAGGACCCCACTTTGTAAACACCTGCTCAAACAAGGGAAACTGCTTTCCACCTCAGGCCTTTCTCACTTCCTATTTCCTCCACCTGGAAAACCCTTCCCCTACATACATTTCCTTGATACTATTCAGGTTTATACTCAGGTGTCACATCTTAGGAGAGAAATTTCCTGACCAATGGCCTATCTAAAGTAGCACTCCTGTGACGCTATCCTCCTTTATTTTCTTACATAGAACTTTACTCTGTATGTATCTGTCTCTTTTGAACACTATGAATACATAGTATAAAACTATGTATTTATTTACTTTTTATAAGTATATTGTACATTATATAAATATAGAACTTTTTTGTTCATTTATTTGCATATAATCTGCCTTCTGCACTAGAATGTAATACCCTTGAGGAAGAGGACGTTTTGTTTGCTGCCAAATCCTCAGCAAGTAGAACAATGTGTCAAATAATAGGCTTTCAACAAATATTTGTTCACTAAATGAATACACTGTAAATCTGCCAAACTCCCTTTCCAAAAGAATCAGCAAGGCTGAGTTATAGCCTCAAATCTTTGTCTTCATATAAAAAGGCTATATAAAAAGTAAGGCATATTGGTCTTTATGGGGCAGTGGGATTGGTACAAGGGAAAGAATATTAGACTTAGAAGAGTAATTCCTGGATTTCAGCTCTGTTCATGTCAATTAAACTGTGATACTATGGATGAATCTCACTTTCTTCACTGATACAATGGAAATTATAATGACCATATGGTTATGATGACTAAGATAAAGTTTTCAAAAATCTGTCATTCAATAGGTGTATAGTACATGTTTGTTGGATCTGAAAAGACTCTAAAACCTCCTTTGGCAAAATCCTTTTTAAGTAACAGAGCTTACTTAAAAACAGAGCTTACTTTAACATTTCTTGATATCTCTAAATGATCACATGACTCTACAAAGAACTAGTATAGAAATCTAAGATATACTAGCTTCTCTCTTGATACAGGGAGAAGTATTGTTACTATGATATTAACACAGTGCTTAAATACCTCAATTATCCATTAGAATGCATGGGAGGGCAATTCCTTTGGGGAAGATGATGTAAATTCAAAATACAACTGTGTGGATTAAATTATTATCTAGAAATTGCAAAGTATTCTCTGCCCTTTAACTTTGGGTTTAGGCATGGAATATGCTTAAGCCAAAATAATGTTAGCAGGCCTGATATGTTCATAAGCTTGCAAAATTCTTACATCATTGTGCTTCCCCTCTTCTACTTTGCCATTGATAAAAGAATGACATATTCAGGTGGCCTGACAGTCCCAGAAAGAGTATGGCAAACGTGTGGAACAGAGTCTCCTGTTGAGCCTGCAAAGAAAACTTTTTAAAGTTAAAAGCTTTGATACAGCAAAGGAAACCATCCACAGAAGACAACCTACTGCATGGGAGAAAATATTTGCAAATGATATGACTGATAAGGGGTTACAAATCCAACATTTGTAAACAGCTCATAAAAGTCAACATCAGAAAAACAAACAAGTCAATCAAAACATGGGTAGAAGACCTGAATAGACATTTTTCCAAAGAGTAAATGCAGATGGGCAACAGGCACATGAATAGATGCCAACATCACTAGTCATAAGGGAAATGCAAATCAAAACCACAATGAGATACCATCAAACAACACAAACAACAATTTTGGTGAGGATGTGAAGAAAAGGGAACCCTCCAACACTGTTGGTGGCAATGTAAATAGGCACAACCACTATGAAAAACAGTATGGAGATTTCTCAAAAAACTAATAGAATTACCATATGACCCAGCAATTCCACGCATGAGTATATATCCAAAAACGCTAAGTCTAAAAGATACATGCACCCCAATGTTCATAGCAACATTATTTATAATTGCTAAGGTATGGAAGCAGCCTAAGTGTCCATAAACAGATGAAAATATGTGGTGTACATATATACACAATGGAATACTACTCAGCCTTAAAAAAGAATGAAATAATGCCATTTGAAGCAACATGGATGGACTTGAAGGGCATTATTATAAGTGAAATAACTCAGAGAAAGATAAATACTGTATGATAGCACTCATATATGAAATCTAAAAAATACAACTAACTAGGTAAAAAAACAAAAAAGAAGCAGACTCATAGATCTAGAGACCAAACTAGTGGTTACCAATGGGGAGAGGGAAGGGGGCAAGGGCAATATGTGTAAGTGGTACAAACTATTATGCATAAAATAAGCTACAGGGATATACTGTAAAACACAGGGAATATAGCCAATGTTTATAATAATTATAAATGGAGTATAACCTTAAAAATTGTGAATCACTATTTGTACACCTGTAACTTATATACTATTGTACATCAACTATACTTCAATTAAAAAAAAAGAAAAGCATATCTATAGCTCTGTTGGGAAAACATTTTCTTCACCAAAATATGTGTTCTAAATAAGAGTTTTTTAAATAGAGTTCCTGTGGAGTTTAAATGAGATGCTATAGGCATTAGGTAGTGCTCTGTTATATGCACTTATCAGGCACTGTGCTAAGCCCTAACCATTGCAATGACATTGGGAAACAGAAACTATTATCATTCTTACTTACCTCAAGGGAACTGAGATGTTTAGAAGTTTGGAAATTTGCCAACAGACTAACTGCCAAGAATTATTAGCAGTTCTCTCTTGGTCTGGAGTCCATGATGTTAACTACATTTTTGGGCTACTGCCAAAATGTATTGGTTTCTTCTCCCTACTTTATAAGTCCACTTCAAAAAAACTGCTTATTGAAAAATTAAATTCTAAAGAATGTTTTAGTGGTTCCATATGTAGGATGCAGGGATTTCCTCATATATTTGAGAAATTACTGAGGACATTAGGTTCCCTGTTCAAACATATAAATTAAATGTTCCTGGATTATTACATTTTATAATGCTTGATAAAATGTTATATGCAATCTCTCTCAGTTTTAATACATAACTTCCTTCAGTATCAAAGATAGCTTTATGCATTTTTAGAATAGGCCAAAATGCTTCAAAAAAGTATTCTCCCAGAAAAAGATGGTGGTTCAATCTTTTGTTTTTGTTCCCAAAGAGTATGTCTAAAAGTTTTTGGGAAAAGTGTTTGAAAGAAAGTAATATGTGAGTGTTTGTTTTCAAATAAATGCATGGCAATTATGTATCCTAACTTCCTTGAAATCAGAACACACCAATGATCCTTCTTGAACCTATTTTTCTATTATTTTGGATTATCATCTTCCTAATAACTTAATAGATCAATCTCTCTCTGTAATGAAAAATCACAAGACACTTCCCTCATTTTTTTCTTAGTAATTTGAACTTACTAGTTTCTTCCTCTCTTGATCAGATAATGTTCAAAATACTCATTTATACCAAAAATTAATAGTTCATAAGTATCTTCTGTACTTTAAATGTTTGACCTATACTGTCCTGTTGCCATTTATTTAATAATCATATATCATTGGAAAAATCAGTACGTATATAATCACATGCTCTGATTCATCTGGGACCCACAATTTCAAGGAAAGGAGCTTAAAAACTCTATTCTAAAGGTTCAGACACATACGGCTATTCCTGGTTTAAGACATTTTGGATGGAAAAATAACAGGTCTCAGAAAACTTTTCAGGAAGAAACTTTCATAATGTGAAGGAGCATTTTTATATGGACCACACTCAAGGGTCAGAGCTTACAGATTGGAAGCAAGGAGTGGTTCCTGGAAAAATGTCAAACTGCACTGGCATCTCCCACCTTCCAACCCCACTTTTGGGTGAAATGTTCTGTGCAACAAAAGAGAAAGAAATATGCTAAAGCTGAAAGGACCATATTTGGTGCCAATTTCTCTCTGTTTAAGGAAGCTAAACCCTTCCCCCATAAAGGCTATATAATGGGTTTCTCCGCTACATAATTCCCCCGTTAAAAGAACTGTGTAGGGCTTCCCTCGTGGTGCAGTGGTTGGGAATCTGCCTGCGAATGCAAGGGACAAGGGTTTGAGCCCTGGTCCGGGAAGATCCCACATGCCACAGAACAACTAAGCCCACAGGCCACAACTGTTGAGCCTGTGCACCACAACTACTGTAGCCCATGCGCCTAGAGCCTGTGCTCTGCAACAAGAGAAGCCAGTGCAATGAAAAGCCCACACACCACAATGAGAAGCAGCCCCTGTTCGTGGCAACTAGAAGAGGGCCCCCACACAGCAACGAAGCCCCAAAAGTTAAAAAAAAAAAGTGTAAATATTTGGCTTTTGCTTGGCTGTCCAACAGTATCATAAAGGACCTGGTCCCTTTCCCTCCATAAGCTCTTCTATGCTTGTTTGCTAAATTTATTCTTGCTTTTCACCCCAGGGTCCCAAGTTGTTAACAGACATTTACAATGCCAAGGGCATCATAAGTCAGGGGCAGAAAGTCAGGAATGGGGAGTGGGATGGAATTTAGAGGAAGAGGAGCTTTTCTGCTTATCAGGGAGATAGATAGTATTATTTTCCAAAAGCCTTTTAACAGACTTCAAGTCTCATTGAGCAGCATTGTGTCACATGGCCAATTCTAACTGCCCAAGCAACTGAGAAGATAAATAGGTGCTTTTCCAGCTTTAAATTGCAAGTCAGCAAAGAAAGAATGGTTTGGGAAATTTTTTTTATTGACCATTAACACTACCTACCACAACCTCTGTCACATGAAGCCTTCTTAGTTTGATGCTTTACTGCAAGAGATGAACAGAAAAAATGGCTAAAATAAATGTTGCCATAGGCGAGAAACAGAGAGAGGGTAAGCAATGGAAATCAGGAAAAGTAATTAAAGTCCAGGTAGCGGTGAGAGCAGATGAGGGCATAGATCAAAGCCATAAGGTTATCAGCTAATTTTTCAGCAGAAACTCTGCAGGCCAGAAGGGAGTGACACAATATATTTAAGCTGATGTAAGGAAAATACCTACAACCAAGAATACTCTACCCAGAAATGCTCTCATTCAGATTTGACAGAGAAATCAAAAGCTTTACAGATAAGCAAAAGCTGTAAGAATTCAGCACCACCAAACCAGCTTTACAACAAATGCTACAGGAACTTCTCTAGGCATAAAAGAAAAGGTTGCAACTAGAAAGTGGAAAATTATGAAATGGGAAAGCTCACTTGTAAAGGCAAATATACAGTAAAGGTAAGAAATCATCCACACACAAATATGATATCAAAACTAGTAATTATGAGAGGAGAGTACAAGTGCAGGATATTTGAAATGCATTTGAAATGAACAAGCCAGCAACTTAAAACAATCTTGTTTATATATAGACTGCTGTACCAAAACCTCATGGTAACTGCAAATGAAAAATCTATAATAGATATACACATGAAAAAAAAAAGGAATCCAAAAACAACACTAAAGACAATCATCAATTCATGAGAGAAGAGAACAAAAGAGGAGAGGAAGAAAAAAGAAACAAATCCAAAACAATTAACAAAATGACAATAATAACATGCATATTGATAATTACCTTAAATATAAATGGATTAAATGCTCCAACCAAAAGACATAGACTGGCTGAATGTATACAAAAACAAGACCTGTACACATGCTGTCTACAAGGGATCCACTTCAGACATAGAGACACATAGAGAGTGAAAGTGAGGGGATAGAAAAAGGTATTCCATGCAAATGGAAATCAAAAGAAAGCAGAGTAACAATGCTCATATAAGATAAAATAGACTTTAAAATAAAGACTGTTAAAAGAGACAAGGAAGGACACTACATAATGATCAAGGGATCAATCCAAGAAGAAGATATGCCAAGTGTAAATATATATGCACCCAACACGGGAACACCTCAATATATAAGGCACATGTTAACAGATATAAAAGGAGAAATTGACAGTAACACAATAATAGTGAGGGACTTTAACACCCCACTTACATCAATGGAGATCAGACAGGAAATCAATAAGGATACACAGGACTTAAATGATACATTAGACCATGTCAACTTAATTGATATCTATACAGAGTTCTATCTGCTAGCTGCAGAATACACATTCTTTTCACCTACACATGGAACATTCTCCAGGATAGATCACATGCTGGGCCACAAAGCAAGCCTAAGTAAGTTTAATTGAAATAATATGAAGCATCTTTCCTGACCAAAATACTATGAGATTAGAAATCAACTACAAGAAAAATGCAAAATACACAAACACGTGGAGGTTAAACAATATGCTACTAAACAACCAACTGGTCAATGAAGAAATCAAAGTAGAAATAAAAAAATACCTAGAGACAAATGAAAACAAAAATAGGATGATCCAAAACCAGTGGGATGCAGCAAAAACAAGTCTAAGAGGTAAATTTATAGTGATACAAGCTTACTGCAGGAAACAAGAAAAATCTCAAACAGCCTAACCTTACACCTAAAGCAAACAGAAAAAGTAGAACAAACAAAACCCAAAGTTAGTAGAAGGAAAGAAATCATAAAGATCAGAGGAGAAATAAATGAAAGAGATGAAGAAAACACAACAGAAAAGATCAATGAAACTAAAAGCTGGTTCTTTGAAAAGAAAAACAAAATTGATAAACTTTTAGCCAGACTCATCAAGAAAAAAAGGGAGAAGACTCAAATCAATAAAATTAGCAATGAAAAAGGGGAAATTACAGCCAACACCACAGAAATACAAAGGACCATAAGAGACTACTACAAGCAGCTACATGCCAATAAAATGGACAACCTAGAAGAAATGGATAAATTCTTAGAAAGGTACAATCTCCCAAGACTAAACCAGGAAGAAATAGAAATATGAACAGACCAAACACAAGTAGTGAAATTGACACTGTGCTTTAAAAACTCACAACAAACAAAAGTCCAAGACCAGATGGCTTCACAGGCGAATTCTTTCAAATGTTTGGAGAAGAGTTAACATCTATCCTTCTGAAACTATTCCAAAAAATTACAGAGAAAGGAACACTCCCAAACTCATTCTGTGAGGCCAGCATCCCTATTACAAAAACCAGACAAAGATACCACACACACACACATACAAATTACAGGCCAATATCACTAGTGAACATAGACACAAAAATCCTCAAGAAAATACTAGTAAACCAAGTCCAACAATACATTAAAAGGAGCATACACCATGATCAAGTGGGATTTATCCCAGGGATACCAGGACTTTTCAATATCTTCAAATCAATCATTGTGATTCACCACATTAACAAATTGAAGAATAAACCCATATGATCATCTCAATAGATGCAGAAAACGCTTTTGACAAAATTCAACACCATTTATGATAAAAACTCTCCAGAAAATGGGCATAGAAGGAACCTACCTCAATATAATAAAGGTCATAAATGACAAACCCACAGGAAACATCATACTCAATGGTAAAAAGCTGAAAGCATTTTCTTTAATATCAGGAACAAGACAAGGGTGCCCACTCTCACCACTTTTATTCAACAAACTTTTGGAAGTCCTAGCCACAGCAGCAATCAGAGAAGAAAATTTAAAAAAAGGATCCAAATTGGAAAAGAAGTAAAACTGTCACTGTTTGCAGATGACATAATACTATACATAGAAAATCCTAAAGACACTACCAGAAAACTACTAGAGCTAATCCAGGAATTTGGTAAAGTTGCAGGATACAAAATTAATACACAGAAATCTGTTGCATTTCTATACTATAACACTGAAAGAGCAGGAAATTAGGGAAACAATCCCATTTACCATTGCATCAGAAAAATAAAATACCTAAGAATAAACCTATCTAAGGAGGCAAAAGACCTGTACTCTGAAAACTATGATATGCTGATGTTCTTGGATTGGGAGAATCAATATTGTAAAAATGACTACACTACCCAAGGCAATCTGCAGATTCAATGCAATCCCTATCAAATTACCAATGGCATTTTTCACAGAACTAGAATTAAAAAAATTTTAACTTGAATGGAAAGACAAAAGGCCCTGAGTAGCAAAATCAATCTTGAGAAAGAAAAATGGAGCTGGAGGAATCAGGCTTCCTGACTTCAGACTATATTACAAAGCTACAGTCATCAAAACAGTATGGTCCTGGCACAAAAACAGAAATATAGATCAATGGAATGGGATAGAAAGCCCAGAAATAAACCCATGCACCTATGGTCAATTAATCTACAACAAAGGAGGCAAGACTATACAATGGAGAAAAGATAGTCTCTGCAATAAATGGAGCTGGGAAAATTGGACAGCTGCATGTAAAAGAATGAAATTAGAACATTCTCTAACACCATGCACAAAAATAAACTCAAAATGGATTAAAGACCCAAATATAAGACTGGATACTATAAAAACTCTTAGAGGAAAGCAAAGGCAGAACACTGTTTGACATAAATTGCAGCAATATCTTTTTCTATCCGTCTCCTAGAGTAATGGAAATAAAAAGAAACACAAATGGGACCTAATTAATTTCAAAAGCTTTTGCACAGCAAAGGAAACCATAAACAAAATGAAAAGACAACCCACAGAATGGGAGAAAAATATTTGCAACCAACAAGAAATTAATCTCCAAATTTTGCAAATAGCTCATATGGCTCAATATGAGAAAAACAAGCAAATAAATAGGCAGAAGATCTAAATAGACATTTCTCCAAAGAAGACATACAGGTGTCCATGAGGCACATGAAAAGATGCTCAACGTCACTAATTATTAGAGAAATGCAAATCAAAACTACAATGAAGTATCACCTCATAGCAGTCAGAATGCCATCATCAAAAAGTCTACAAACAGGGTTTCCCTGGTGGCGCAGTGGTTGAGAGTCTGCCTGCCGATGCAGGGGACACGGGTTCGTGCCCCGGTCCGGGAGGATCCCACATGCCGCAGAGCGGCTGGGCCTGTGAGCCATGGCCGCTGAGCCTGTGCGTCCAGAGCCTGTGCTCTGCAGCAGGAGAGGCCACAACAGTGAGAGGCCCGCATACCACAAAAAAAAAAAAAAAAAAAAAAAGTCTACAAACAATAAATGCTGGAGAGAGTGTGTGGAAAAGGGAACCCTCCTACACTGTTGGTGGGAGTGTAAATTGGTCCAGCCACTATGAAGAACAGTATGGATGTTCCTTAAACTAACAATAGAGTTACCATATGATACAGCAATCCCACTCCTAGGCATATATCCAGAGAAAAACATGGTTTGAAAGGACAAATGCACCCCAGTGTTCATTGCAGCACTGTTTACTATAGCCAAGACATGGGAGTGACATGAATGTCCATCAATCAATGAATGGATAAAGAAGATGTGGTGCATCTATACAATGGATTATTACTCAGCCATTAAAAAGAATGATGTACATGCCATTTGCAGCAACATGGATAGACCTGGAGATTATCATGCTAATTAAGTCAGACAGAGAAAGACAAATATCATATATCACTTATATGCAGAATCTAAAAAAAGAAATAATACAAATGAACTTATTTACAAAACAGAAACTGAGTCACAAACTTACAGAACAAACTTATGGTTACCAGAGGGGGAGGGTCAGGGGGAGGGATAGATTGGGAGTTTGGGATTGACTTATACACACTGCTACATTTAAAATAGATAACCAGCAAGGACCTACTATATAGCACAGGGAACTCTGCTCAATATTCTGTAATAACCTAAATGGGAAAGAACTTGAAAAAGAATAGATACATGTATAATATAAGTGAATCACTTTGCTGTACACCTGAAACTAACACAACATTGTTAGTCAACTATGCTCCAATATAAAATAAAAAATTAAAAAGGTTTAAAATAATAACAGTAAAATATAGTAAATCTGGATAACATGAAAAAATAAATATGTCCTACCATTTTTTTTAGGATAGTGTTCTATAAATCATTGTTAGATTAATATAGTTCATAGTACTGTTAATTTCTCTAATATACTTAGAGACGTTTTGTCAGGTAGTTCTAATCCATTCCCAACTATATTGCCTAATACCTTCCTTTAGTCAAGAGAGATTTGATAGATGCTGAAGTCAAAGAGAATTAAAATGAGATGGCCTTGACTGGCTCTTGGTGGAGGAAGCCACATGGAGAGCCTAAGAAAGAATGAAAGTAGCCTTTAGGAGCAACAACTAACCACTAGCTTATAGCTATCAAGAAATGAGGACCTCAGTCCTACAACTGCAAGGAACTGGATTTAGTCAACCACCCAAATGAGCTTAGAAACCAGATCTTACCCAGAGCCTCTAGTAATTGCAGTCCTGGTGACACCTTTATTTCAATGTTGTTAGATGTTCAGCAGGGAGCCCAGTTGAGACCACTCAAACTTCTGACATGCAGAAACAGAGATAATAAATTTATGTTGTTTTAAGTTGCTAAGTTTATAGTAATTTGTTAGAACAGCAATAGAAAACTAATACAGATTTTGGTATACAGCTATTTTTAAAATGTAAAAATACTAAGATATTGAAGAAAAGATTAATATAGAAACATAAAATGCCTATGCTACTTATGGTTTTGGAATAAAGTAATGAAAACAGAGGAAGAGAAAAAGGTTATAAAGCTATTACATCATTAAAAAGGACTAGAGCAAGTGAAATAAATTATTTTGAAAGGTATAGAAGACCAAGTTAAGCAGATTTCAAAACACAAAGAAAATGAGATTCTAGCAATAAACTCTCATAACTACTTGTATAAAAATACACTCACCCCTTTGATATAAAACCTCTAATGATATGGTAAATGATGAGAATTAGGTCTGTATTTCCCTAGAATTTCTTTGAAATTTTATATCCTATCATAGACGTGTCAGGAGGCTCTTACTTGTTTAACAGTTTATATATTTTTTTTATATTTTAAGACATGAAAAACCAAAGGGTTTTCTCTCCTGAACACTCTTCCACTTTGAACCTCATTCTCATTCTCATTCTTTCATACATCGAGACTTTCTCCTAGAGAATTATCCTTTTACTGCAGGCTATATTTTATCACCATGTTTAGGTTTAAGTTATACATATATGAGTATTGGGAGAGAATAGATACTACTCAGAAGAAACTTTCTAGGTGATGCATATCAAGGTTTATTTTCAATCCGTTGGCTCTGAATATAAATGGATATTCTATCAGCATGCCAAGAGACAGAGCAATTTACCAGTAGTAATTTGGGAACTTTTGAGGCGAAGAAGATAGCATTTCTTCCTGCAAAAGGTTTCTATTGAAAATGACTTGTTTTTAGCTTTAAGTTGGTTTTATTTTATTGGGATATGACCTATTCCTTTTAAAAGCAAACAGACTTCTAGAATAACTCTTGAGAGGCAGAATGACTTAAATTATGAGAGTGCATCCTGGAACCAGACTGTTTGGGTTTGAATTCTCACCTGCATACATGAACAAGTTATTCAACTCCTCATGCCTTTATTTCCTTTTACGCAAAAGAAGATAATAGCGTCTACCTTACATGGTTGTCGTGAGGATTAAATGAAATGATAGACAAAGTTAATAGTATGCATTCAATAAAAGTTAGCTGTTAACACTGTTACCTCAGAAAATGTCCTTCTTTATTTTAAGCATCTATCTAAAAACATATGGCACAGAGTTTTATCCAATCCTCTTCAGGAGCTACATTCCATAATTAGAATGTTACCTTAATCCTTCAAGTGGCTGATGCAAGCCAGTGGAACTCGGTGACCTCCTAACAAAACTGATTCGTTGTACCCTCTGGCCTTTACAAATGCCTTTGACTTTATTCTCAAATGTCTTCTTCTTTCTTCTAACCTGTGGTGTGAAGAAAAGACTAATAAGTTTTTATTTAAAATTATCTCTTTTTCAAGAAAGCCTTTCCTAATTCTCTCCCTTTGACCCAGGTCCTTTCAACATTTGAATGTGCGTATTTATAATCTGTTTGGTTTCTTCAACAAAATTATGTCATTGAAAAAACAGATTTATTTATTTCACATTACTCCACTCTCTTAAGCATCTCTTACAGATGATAAGTGGATATAAATACATGATGGGAACTTACTGATTTCTCATATAAACTACTTCAGCATTACATGTATAAAAATGCTATCCGCAATGCTTAGATTTTCTTTATTGATATCACAAGTGCCTTTTGAAAATGTTATATTTTTCATTAAATCTCTAATGGCTTTCCTCTAGTAACATGGCAAACAAATCATTGAACTCTGAAAAGTACATAGAAATGTTATATACCTGATTTTATAGTTAAGATTAGAAACCACAACGAGACCATTCATCCCAAAGATCTTGTGGATTGAGGTCCAGAGCTCAGCTCAGAACTTTGTTTTCATCATTTTCTGGTCTATTTTCTCTGTCAACCATCAATTTATACTCTACATTAAATGCACATTTTGTCAGAAATTAAATTAAGCATGACTTAGTTAACTGCTTATATTGGGTCTCATATGTCCTTCAGGTTGCTGGAAAACATCATTTGCATTTCAGGAAGATTCTCTTATGTAAATTGTCCCCTGGATGAAGCCTGAATTGCTTTTCAGTTGAACCTTATTCCCCTAATATCCAGTTCTCATTGTTAACACAGTTGCGTGCCTACTCTCAGACTTACCCTTAACCTGGTCAATGTTGCGTCAGAAGTGTTTATGAGAGCACTGGGGTGTAAAGTGCCTGCACTCCCAAACAGAAAACTGTCTCTATTTTATCTATTAGTTCAGCTTTAGAAAATAAGTTAACTGTAACTCGTAAAATATGTTCTGAGGTAAGGTCGTCAGCTTTACCTTGTTGATTTAATGAATATGAAATTATAAGTGTGTTAGAGAGTTTTACTTACCCACCTCCACCAATAAAGGTAAACATTTAAAATAACTGAAATTATTGGGCATATTACATTCAGAATTTGGGGAGATTTGACATTCTTTAGCAAATCATGACAGGGTAGTGGCTGTATCTTCATGTTGAATATTATATATATATATATATTATATTCAACAGCGCATATTTTTTGACCACCTACTATCTGCCAAATGCTATGCCAGGTACCAAGGAAACAAAAGGAAATGACTTATCCTTCAAGGAGGTTATAGTCTAGAAGGGAGGTAGATGAATGAAAATAAGTGCTATTATAATGATCAAAACCTGGTTAAAACAGAAAGAGCACAGTCTTTCAGGAAGGTGAGGAAGTATTTCTCAAAGATGAGCTGCATTTAGAAGGAAAATTCCCTAAGCTACATTTACATACATGTTTCTGTTTTCTTCATAGGGTCTCTAAATTCCATAAATCAAAGACTATGTGGACTTGTGCTCAATAAATGTTTACCCAATGTGCATTGCTGTCAGTACTTTTCTTTAACCACAGTAGCTTTTAGGGATCCAAGAGAACTAATCTCACTCTGAACCAGATAAAACATCATGGGTATAAATTTGCCTTCTAGAAGAAAACTTCCATAATGATTTTATTCATAAGTCCTTGCCTCTAATTTTTGTATTATTTTAATTACTAGTTTATTGTCAATATACAAAAAGTATATTAGTATAATGGTATTAGTGTATAATTTGCAAATAAATAAATTATATAGGTTGGTCTCTGCTCATTTTCTTTTTTTTAACTCAAAATGATGTGAGATCCCAGTTTAGAAAAGGATGTGAAATCCCAATTTAGAAAATTAAAAAAGAAAAACAAAAAACAACTGTTATTTCTGAAACCACTTCAGATTTCTGTCATTAATAACATGGTGTAAATGTCCTTCAATTTCTGGCATTCAGAATAATAATATAGTGCTGGTACCTAATTTGTGTTTGAAAAGTATTATGGTCAGGCACCATACTACAAATTCTACTAGAAAATCATTCCTCCTTTACAATAATTCTATGAAGCATGTAGCATTATTAGGCCTTTTTTTTTTTTTTTTTTGCGGTATGCGGGCCTCTCACTGTTGTGGCCTCTCCCGTTGTGGAGCACAGGCTCCGGATGCGCAGGCTCAGCGGCCATGGCTCACAGGCCTAGCCGCTCCGCGGCATGTGGGATCTTCCCGGACCGGGGCATGAACCCGTGTCCCCTGCATCAGCAGGCGGACTCTCAGCCACTGTGCCACCAGGGAAGCCCAGGCCATTTTTTGAGATGAAAAATTTGAGTCCTGACTTGACTTGTCTAACGTAATCAGCTTTTAAGATGGCTCAGCTTTGAGATCAAGTTCTTAAAAACCATGATTCACAGCCTTGCCTTTCATTGAAAATCTTAAACTGACAGGGTTTATATAAGAGATGTAAGATACATTCACTCTTGTTCCTTTTCTGTCCTGTGGTTGTCAGGGTAAGGTATTCTACCAATAAAAAGCATTCATATGGGAAAATTGAAATGGATGATTATGTAGATAAGACTGACTCCATAGCCTTCAGGAGAATGTAACTCTATGGATTCCTGGTAAGTATTGAAAAAAATAGAGGAAGATATGAACTTAAAGGCCTTCTCTATTTAGCAGAAATTATTTCAATTTTATTTTGATACTAGTCATCAGTAGAGTTACAAATAGCATATGTAAATTTAGGAATTTGAAACATCAAAAAACGTATCCTTTTGTAGAATGAATGAATAATGAAAGAATAAATAAATGAAACCTGACAAATATAAAAGTTCACTGCTCCCAAATCCTTCTACTTCCTTTATTCTCTTAGAACTTTCTCTAGACAGTGCCAGAGACATCTGGTTCCCTATGGTTCTTTACCTCGCCCCTCTTGTACCATGTGCCCTCACATTTTCCCACTCACCTTCCCATTTTTGGACTTACACATTCCCTTATTTCCATACTACTTATACGTTTATATCTTTGCCTCTTCCCTGGCCTGTAGTTGAACTCTTATTTGGATTAGCCTGTCTTCAGCATCCATGGACCAGACAGTCTCTTAGATGGTCTTACTTATAATAGTTCCCCTTCAGCAGAGTCCTTTCTTATAGCATAGGGGAGGAAAAATAATTTTCCCTCTACCCTTCTAGGGCCGAGATCCCTCCCCCAGAATAAGAGACAGATTAACAGGAGAAAAAAATAGAAATGTCATCACATGTATTACCCCTTGAATATATGAGAGATACCCAGGAAAATTGAGTAACTCTCCAAAAAGGCCTAAGCCAGCACCTTAAATACTATCGCAAGCTAAAGATAAAAGATGTTAGTGGGGTGGGGGGAAGGCCAGTTATGAAAAGTTACCAGGAAAAGCACATTAAACAAGAGTAACATTGTTATTCAGATTTAGGTTGTTCTTTTCTCCATTGATAAGAGTTTCTAGAGATTTAGAGTCATCCTTCCCAGTACAGAGAAGAGAACTTTACAAATGAATATTTCCTTTTACATGTAAATATCTCTCACAAAAGGCTAACGTCTACTCACTTTTCAGAGCTTCACTTGTGCCTGCTGTTTCTTAACCAGCTCAAAATAATATGCCAAAGGGGGCACATTGTGGGGTGGTATATTTTGCTCCTATTCAATAGGACCAAGACAAATTCAAATGGCACATTTAGTATGGCAGAGTGTAAGAAAGAGAACATTTTAAAAATCTGAAAGGTGATAATCGTTTTGCATTTTTATGAATGTATTTTCCAAGCTTGATTTCATTCAAAGTGACTTTCACCCACATTTTTCTTTGTACCTAGACATCAGCCTACAAGTAGGAGTCAAAAGGCCCACAAGATCTGGTATTCAATACCCTTTTCACTAAGTGTGATTGTCTATTTGTTTCTTAATTTTCCTTGAAATGGAAATGAAGGAATAGAAAAGCAACTTTCAGCAGATACGACTGGGTGAGAAAGCCAGCATCTTTGTTTATGCATAAAGCTCTGACTACAAATGAAGATACTATGAGAGTGAAAATATTATCATCAGCATATGCACCTTCCTAATGAATGTTAAAAAATTAAGTATTTGTAGATTATCATTGACTAACTTTGTTCTTTTAACCGAAGAAAATACTCTGCCACTTCTATTGATTCTATGCTCCAATTCATCATTTCTCAACAATAACCGGAGCCAAGACAAATGGCTGCTAGATGATGTTGAATTATCTATTTCTAGTTGACAGAGGACAGGGCCCAGCCCCACCTCCACACTTTTGTTGCCATGGTTTTCAAATTAGATGCTTCTGTGGTCAAAGCAGACTCACTGTTGTATTCATCACCATTTAACTATAAGAGCCACTGAGCACATCCATGATCTCTCTTGCTCATGATGGCAGATGGGATGAACATAAATGATTAGGAAACACCACCTGCTCAGTGCTTAATGCAGGAGGAGAAAAACAGCTGTGTCATTTGGGATGGAAAACACATTAGCTTAAGCTCAGCATGCCACTTACATAGCCAACCATGAAATTTGCAAGTTATTGAGGGTGTAGGATGAAATATTGCACGATAGATACCTGTTTTCTATTCAGGAATTTCCATCTGAAGACTGTCAAGCACAGAATGACTGATGAGGCCTCTGTGGAACTTCCTCTAGATCTCAATACTTGCTATTTGGAGTATGAAAATAAGAGCTCTTGTGAAAGCAACAAGTCATCTATGAAGTGCATCAGACGGTCCAAAATGTGGCCTACAGAGCTCTCAGTTGTAGCTACAGCTGCCCTGTTATAAAGAGTGAAGGAAAAGATTGTTTTCAGCAGGCTTTCATTGACACCAAATCTTATAACCCAGAAAATTTTCATTTTTCTCTGCAATTAGATAAGAGAGACACAGATCATATGGACTGATACCTTAATTTCTGTGCAAACACAATTTACTGGAGTCATTAAACTATGAATGGACAGATTAATCACCAATGAAACAAAAGTTGATTTCCTTCTCCAGGTGTGTCTTGTCTCTCTCAGCATGCTGCCAGGAGGATGAGTCTTCTTGTTTTAGTTACTTTATAATCTCGTTTCCAAGTTTCACCTTCAATTACTCAGGTGATACCTAATGTGATAAAGTTGTATTTGACTAGTAGTTATAGATTTTACTTAAAAAATAAGTTGATCTTGAAGATAGTAATATATACACTACATATATATACATATATAACACACATGTTATATAACCTCAGTTTAAATACAAAAAGAATGTACACAATTACTGAATTCTAGTTATTATTTTTAATTGGCATAAGTTAGCAAACCTAAAACTACTATATTTTTCAAAATTGAGTGAGTTTGGAGCCAGGTTTCTATTTTCCCCAGCTTGAGATACAGTTAACATATAACATTGTATAAGCTGTACAGTGTGATGATTTGATATATGTATATATTGCAAAATGATTACAGTAAGATTAATTAACATCCATAACTTCACAAACTTACCCTTTATTTGCTGTGTGGTGAGAACTTCTAAGATTTACTCTCTAAGCAACTTTCAAATGTTTCAAGCATAGTATTGTTAACCATAGTTTCCATACTGTACATTTGATCCCCTGAACATGTTAATCTTATAATTGGAAGTTTGTATCCTTTGACCACCTTTACTCATTTCCTCCACTCCCCCGACTGCTACCCCTGGCAACCACCAATCTACTCCATGTTTCTAAGTGTATTTCTTTTTAGATTCCACAAATAAGTTAGATCATACAGGATTTGTCTTTCTCTGTCAGACTTACTTCACTAAACATAATGCCCTCGAGGTTCATCAACGTATTGATGCAATTCACAAATGGCAGGTTTTCCATCCTTTTTATGGCTGAATAATATTCCATTCTGTGTGTGTGTGTGTGTGTGTGTGTGTGTGTGTATACACACACACACATATACACACTCCACATCCTTCTTTATGCATTCATCCTTTGATGGACACTTAGGTTGTTTCCCTGTCTTAGCTACTGTAAGGGAATTCCTGATATTTTATGTAAGTTTGAAATTACATAAAAAGGTGAAAATGCATTGTTTGAAAAAATAAGCAGTAATTAAGAAAAAAATTTAAAGAAAAAGGAAATATCTATGAGGTATAGTGGTTTTCAAACACTATTTCTCCAAATACTAAAAATTAATACAAATCGACTGAAGCAAAAAAAAAATAGATGAAAAAGACTAAAAAATCCGTCTATATCTTTGTGTGTTATTAGAGCTCACACAAAGCTTATTCAATGAACAATAAAATCATGCCATCACCTAAAGGTATGGGAAAAGACATTTGAATAAGCCTTGACAGAAATGCTGAAAATAAGTGCACAAAATTGTATTTAGAGCGAGAATGTCTAAGTTCCTTAGTTCTGGAAAAGTAATTAAGCAGAAGAAATTACTTTCACAGCTTGGCCTCTTTTAAAGTGCTGCTATTAAAGACTCAGTTGAATACTGTTCCAGCATCAGGCATTCTTTAACAATACTATTCTGTGAAGCTGAATGCAAGAACTTTCTGTGGCAAAGACATATATTGGATGTCCTCCTAGTCAGAAACAATTTGTCCATTAACATGTCCCAGATCTTCTGAATGTTAGCCCGATTCAAACTGTACTGTGACCAAATTAAAAATATACATTGTGGAAACAGACTTCGTGCTTATAGAATTTAGATAATTTTGTCTTCATGGCAGAAATCCTGGATGAAGCATTGAAAGGTATATGCCACCTGATGCAAAATTACAGCTTTGTTAGCTTGATGGTTTTTAATTAGTATGTTTGCTTGACTTGTTTACCTGTATTAGTTGGTTAATTTGAATTGGATAAATGTAGATCAAACAGAAAGATGACTATTAACTTGCCTGCAAGCCTTTTCTGATTTTTAGTTGCCTGGACCTACTTTGGTCTTACTATAAAGATAGTGGTTTCATTATTGGTATAGTTTGCATTTAGAGACATGGATTCTGGACCAAGTCAGATACGAATTCTGGGCTCTGCCTCTGCCTGTGTAACTCTGTCTTCTTGATCATTCTGGCATTTAATTTCCTCATATCCAAAATGGGGTAATAAACTATAAGTGTAAAATGTTTCAGGGATTCCAATGATGGAATCTTGTGCCACTGGATTAGTTTTCTCAAAAAAATCTTTGAGATCTTATTGGTGAAAAAACCAGTCAAATAAAATTTGACGATTGAAGGATCAGGCTAGTTAGCAGTTACGCAGATGCCAGGATGACTGCTACTACTTGTTATGTCAGCACCAGCCAGAATGCCAGTCAGCTTAATTTCTGGCAGCTTCAGCAAGATGATATTATTTAGGAGAAAGACTTGTATCATCATATAATTATGCTCCCTTTTCTCCCAAACAAGAGGATGCTTCTGAGTGTGTGGTAAAGATCATCAATAATATGAATTCTAGAATAAGTACCATCCATTCATATGCTGCAGTTTCTCATACTATGTTTGTAATACCTCTAATTTGGTTTAATATCCATTCCCCAGAGGTGAAAAACATCTGGTTATCACCATCATTTTATATAAACATCTCAAGTATATATATATATATATATATATATATGTATTTTTTTTTTAAATGTAATATTTTGGAATACCATTTTGATGTATATTTTGCCTTCCTATGAGTTAAACTGTTTTAGATACCTCATATAAGTGGACTCTTGCAGTATTTATACTTCTATGTTAAGTGAAATACGACAGTCATGATGTCTCCAGGTTCATCCATGTTGTTACAAATGACAGGATTTCAAATAAATGGGACCTAATTAAACTTAAAAGCTTTTGTGCAGCAAAGGAAACCATAAACAAGACGAAAAGACAACCCTCAGATTGGGAGAAAATATTTGCAAACAAAGCAACTGACAAAGGATTAATCTCCAAAATATACAAACAGCTAATGCAGCTCAATATCAAGAAAAACAAACAGCCAAATCAAAGAATGGCAGAAGGGCTTCCCTGGTGGCACAGTGGTTGAGAGTCTGCCTGCCGATGCAGGGGACACGGGTTCATGCCCTGGTCCGGGAGGATCCCACATGCCACAGAGTGGCTGGGCCCGTGAGCCATGGCCGCTGAGCCTGTGCGTCCAGAGCCTGTGCTCCGCAATGGGAGAGGCCACAACAGTGAGAGGCCCGCGTACCGCAAAAAAAAAAAAATGGGCAGAAGACCTAAATAGACATTTCTCCAAAGAAGACATACAGATGGCCAAAAAACACAGGAAAACATCACCAACTATTAGAGGAATGCAAATCAAAACTAAAATGAGATATCACCCCACACCAGTCAGAATAGCCATCATCAAAAAATCTGCAAACAGTAAATGCTGGAGAGGGTGTGGAGAAAAGGGAATCCTCTTACACTGTTGGTGGGAATGTAAATTGATACAGCCACTATGGAGTACAGTATGGAGGTTCCTTAAAAAACTAAAAATAGAACTACCATATGACCCAGCAGTCCCACTACTGGGCATATACCCAGAGAAAACCATAATTCAAAAAGACACATGTACCTCAGTGTTCATTGCAGCACTCTTTACAATAGCCAGGACGTGGAAGTGACCTAAATGCCCATCAACAGAAATATAAAGAAGATATGGTACATATATACAATGGAATATTACTCAGCCATAAAAAGGAACGAAATTGTGTCATTTGCAGAGATGTGGGTGGACCTAGAGACTGTCATAGAGTAAAGTAAGTCAGAAAGAGAAAAACAAATATTGTATATTAATGCATATATGTGGAGTCTAGAAAAATGTTATAGATGATCTTACTTGCAAAACAGAAATAGTGACACAGATATAGAGAACAAACATGGATACCAAGGGGGAAGGAGGGTGGGATGAATTGGGAGACTGGGATTGACAATATATATACTACTATGTATAAAATAGGTAACTAATGAGAACCTACTGTATAGCACAGGGAACTCTACTCAGTGCTCTGTGGTGACCTAAATGGGAAGGAAATCCAAAAAAGAGGGGACATATGTATATGTATGGCTGATTCACTTTGCTGTGCAGCAGAAACTGACACAGCAGTGTAAATCAACTATATTCCAATAAAAAAATAAAATGATTTAAGCCAGTGAACTAATATGTAATTATGACAAAAATAGATAAAAACTATATTTTACCTCTTAAATGATAGCTATCTTTATCATATAAAAGAATGATAAAGCTAACTCTGGTTTGGTTTGTATCCAGTTTCCAGTCCAATAAGGTGAATATACAAACCTTAAAAAAAAAAAAGATGACAGGATTTCCTTTTTTTTTAAGGCTTAATAACATTCCAGTATATTTATATACCATAATTTCTTTATCCACTAATCTGTGTAAGCAGGAAATAGAAGGGTGGTTGCCGTGGCTCAGGGAGAGGGAAATAGGGAGTTGTTGAATTGGTATCAAGTTTCATGCAAGATGAGTAAGTTCTAGAGATCTGTACAACAGGGTGCTTATAATTATCAGTACTGTAATATGCACTTAGAAATTTGTTAAGAGGGTAGATCTCATGTTAAGTGTTCTTACCACAAAAGAAAACACAAAGATGCTTTTGGAGGTAATGGATATGTCTACTACCTTGATTGTGGTGATGGTTTCAAGTGTGTACGCACATATCCAAACTCATCAAATTGTATACGTTAAATATGTTCAGTTTTTGTATATCAATTATACCTCAATAAACCTGTTTAAAAAATATTCTAAACCTTTGTTTTATTCATTAAACATGGGTAGTATTAATGCCTTTC